TAGGGTGCCCATAAATTTATTGGCATGCCAGCTTCCCAACATCGAACAAGCCTCCGACGCCATTTTAGAAAGGCTGCTCTCACTGCTTACTCATTCTGCCGTCCCCCATCTTCAGTGACTTCTATCACACATCGGGGGCTGTCATGCACCTGCATGCTCGGACTACCTCTGCTTTACACGCCGGAGAGCTGAGGCTGGAAAAACACAACAAGCCAGCGGCGGACACACTTTCCCCCCAGCAGGCTGTCAGTCAGCACCATTTCAAACCCACGACACAAACATTACACGATCAGAGCCAGAGCTGATGTGAATGTAGGTGGATCATCATCGTGTGCTCCCCGCAAGGCTGCGTGAATCGGACATGTTTGTAGTCTCGCCGCTGCAGAGCAAAGCACCACAACCTCATCAGTTTATGTTAGGGGGGGGGGGGAAATGCACTCATGTTGCAGGGTTATGTGAGATTTAGCAGCTTCTGCGCCGTGATGGTGACGCATACATGGTTAAAAGAAGCTCTGCTCATATAGGTGCACTGATGTTTTTCAGCAGGCAGCTCTCCAGCACATATGGACGGAGAGAGAGAGAGAGAGAGAGGCGGGCTGCTGCTTCCTTGACAGCCGAGGAGAGAGCAGCGAGAGCGGCCACACAATCGTGATAGACCCCAAAAAAAGATACTATTTCCTCCATCAGGTAGAGGGCAAGGAGATTCAATCGTGCACACTGTGCTTTGTGTCTGCTCCAGCCAGAACACATTCAAAAAGGAGCAATGAGTGAGGGTATCATAATTAAAATATCGACATGTTGTCTGGTTTCCCTTCAGGCTGCAGCTCAGAGGAGCAGCGTGGTCACAATGAGCCAAACAACCATTTTCTCTGCGCGCAGAGTAAACAGCAGCGGTACAATGTGGCACATATGAGTGAGCACGCAGCGTTCAATCACAGCCCAGCCTGCGGCTCCGAGGCAGCGTGAGGTCCGCCGTCACCTCCGAGCTCCCACCGTCCTCAGACCAGTTCAACAAAAACCATGCAGCTGCAGCAGTGACAGGCAGGTACGTGCTGGTGCAGATCCACACACACACACACACAATGTGCACACGCTCGTTCAGGAGCAGTGACCTGACTAACTCGCAGAGTCAAGTGAACGCACACTCCCGTGCTGTCTGCCACACATGCACGCTGCTCCGTGCAAGAACCATGAGGGAAATGAAGGCTGACTGGCAGATGAAGTTTGTTTACACTGGCTGTGACGGAGGACGTGTTACCAGGAGGAGAGACGTGCTGCTCTGAGGTCTGATCGTGGTGGTGGAAGAAGTAATGTAAGCACAGGTGAAGTTACCACGGAGGCTACAAGTTAGTCCATGGTGTCGAAATGGCAAAACCATATGTCTGCTGGCTGAAGCGTGCTGCTGGCCGCTGGTTTAATGTGGACTCAAATGCAGCGCAGGAGCTGACAGCAGCTGCCAAACGGGACTTTGCTACAGGGGGAACCTCCTGCTTCATCCCGACACAACTACAATGTGACACAACAGAGATGCTGGCCGTGCAGCCGTCCTTACATTGCAAAACACAAACACGTCGCTCATGAACTCACCGCTTGAAGTGCTCAATGATTTTCTCCTCTCTCACATTTTCGGGTAAATTTCCCACCCATAGATGCCTGGTTTCCCGGACCATACTGTGAGCTCCGGCTCCCCGACCATACACAGCGCTTCGCTATGTCAGTCTCCTCGCGTGCAGATCGGCAGGGGTCTGCAAACTAAACGTCTGACAGGGAAGGAAAGGAAAACGAGAAACACGCTCCGGTCGCTGTGGCCCAATGTAAACCATTAGTCCCCCCCCGCACGCTGCTTGATACTGTTCACTGCTGGAAGCGCGATCTTGCACCTCATGAACGCGCTCCGGACTGTTCCCGTGACTAGGCGCGTCCCTGACACCATGCGACCTTTGGATGTCGAAAGAAAGCATGAAGCTTCCTAAAAAGATGCAGCAACTCCGCTCGTAATGAGAGACACACAGCGCAGGCGTGGCTTTGTGTGTGAACTTCTTTTCTCTCTCTCTCTCCCTCTCTCTGCCCCCCCCTCCCACCACACACACACACACACACACACCACCCGATGAGCTAGTCGTCCCGCCGTGCGCATGCGTGAGAAAACCCCTGGTTGAATGTTGGTGCTTTGACATCTGAGAAGCTTTGACTCTCAGGAGGATCCCATCATCAGCAGGGGATGGCAGGGTGAAGCACTTAGCATGTGCTGTCCCTTTAGAATGGTTTATTGTTGTTGTTGTTGTTATAGGCTACATTTGTTCTTTTTATCAGTACAGAAACGAAAAAACCACAACAAATGATCAAGTGGAATAAAACAACACAGTAACATGCCAGATTTCTCGATCGAGGAATATCAATCACTAATCGCTCAGGTTAAATACTCACAGGGTGTAATTGGTCTAATTGCCTCCTCTGAACCTGAACACAATAGCTAGTTTCAGGAATGGATGGATTGACTAATTACTGACGACCATCACTAATTGCTTTATTTATCTATATAACTTAGACAAACATTGAGTCATTACATGCAGAGAAAGGTTTGAGCCCCCTCCGTTTAACAAAAGATTGTGTGGAAGACGGCTGCAGAAACTTAAACCTTAAAGAAACTAAGTGTGTGTTGTAAGTGATTGAATGTTAATGATTACAACATCTGGGCCTTTGATGAGCTTCAGTCACTGTCGTTTTCTTTCCCTGAGGTTGATAGAGAAGCTTATATTCTGTTGATCCTCATACCAGAATAAACCCCAGTATTAACTCACTATTTTAAAATATTCAGGAGATTGTTTTATCTTTAATTTAGATTTTAACTTATAGAATTAACAGGAATTGTATATAAATGGATGGCAAAGAAAACAAAGAGACCAGAGAAACACAATGAGTGTAAACACTTCAAAACTTATTGGTTTGCTGGGTATGAATATAATGTGAATCTTATGCTACAGCTCTTCTTCAATTTATACAGTATATCACCAAAACGGACCCATGCAAAGTTAAGTGTCTGAGATCCAGTTCAAAAGAAACATTTTCAAAAAGTAGGAAGTAACAGTGCAATTGACATGTATGGTAAGAAAAAAAGATTATATATATATATATGTATGTATATAGTATATAACTTGTATGCTTCTACATGGTTCAGTATTTATCTGCTGATGGCACTATGCTGGGAACACTGTTGGTCTGTCAAGGCAAATAAATATTTGACTAATTTACTTGTACAACTACTCGTGGGTGGCAGAATAGCACAGGGGGCTATTTAGTGAAGAACTTTGACCTGGTCGGAGCTTGGTTTTAAGCTAATGAGTAACATGAGGGAATAGGGCCCACGTCCTGAGGTACAAGAGAGCATGGTGATAAGCTCTGATGAGAGATAAAGCTGCACTTTCACTTGGAACATTATCCCTTAACACTTTTAGTAAACAAACCTAATGTGTGGATCATTTCAAATATGTCAACCTCACTCAAACAGTTGATCAGCTGAGTTTTAGTTCATTCATTGCTTAGTGCATATTGTCTTTACTCAAACTGGAGCTGAATAAAGTGTTTAGCCTTCAGAAAATGACAACTAAAGAAAAGTTTAGTAAAGAAACCCTGTGTTGCCACACTCTTCTGCTATGTTACTATATTAAGCAGGCACATTAAAGCCGGAGTGCGCGTGCGTCAAACTGCGGTAACAGGGGACACGCTAAGCCACAGTGCGCATGCGCCCCGCGTGCCTATCACATGAGAACAGACAGTGTGAAACCTCTGGAGGAGCCGACAGCCGCGGAGCAGCCATTACTGAGGACACCTCCACCATGACCGGCCGCTCATGGAGGACGTCCTCATGTGGGATTCTACTCATCAAACTAACTAATCTTAATAAACCTGCGGGAGTACAATGGTCTGTTTGGGTGGATCGACTAGACTCCAAATCTAAATGTTCCAGACCTGCTGGATTTATCCTGGAAACTGGAGCCGCCATTGTGTCCACTGTCATTTCACAAGCTTTACGGGATGAAGGGACTGATATCAAACCATCACCATCACAAACCCTCTCATGGAATATGTTTCTGTCCGCTCTCAATAAAGACTAATGGGCATAACACCGGCGTCAGTGTGTGGACAGAAATGGTCCTGGGTGTGAAATCCAAATATATCAGAGACGCGTCTGTAAATGACAGTAATGTTCCCTCATTAAAAACATTGGCGCGGGTCGAAAAGCAGCTGGTGTCAATTGATGCTGTCTGTTGTTTTCCAAATGGTCTTTGTTCGACGGATCAGAGGTCAGAGCTAAAGCAAAGTAACCGATCCTTTTCTTTGTCTAACGCCATTTTGTGTGACTTTTTATGCACTAACGTTGTCGTCAGCCATTTTGCTTCTTTCTTCTCGGCGAGCGGACGAGACCCGAAAAAAACAATGACATGATATTTACGTGGGAAAGAGCAAAGGGTACTTTTAATAAAAAAATAAAGACGTCTACCCACCGTGCAAGCTGTCAGCTAGCGTGCAGGGGATGATTGTGCCAAACGCGTAAAATGTTATATTACGCGATCAGTTCATTAATATGCTTTTTCAGGCAATACTAGTTATGTGTATGGTTAAACCTTGATTTCTTGTGTGTGACAGCCATGAAATAACAGCTGTCAATTTTATAAAAATGCAAGATATAAAGATAAATTTCAGAATCTTATTGAATATAAAATCTGGGGTTTTATATTTATTTACATTCTTAGGTGTAATCTTCTGGATTTGTATCTTAGAGGTCAATCTAAATGAAATATATTTTATTTTCCCTTTTCATTTGCAGAAATCTTACTTTTTAAGCCAACACAAGAGCATAAGATATATATACACAGTATGTATACATTGTTTCTTCAGATGCATTTGTGGAGATTTGTCCTTATAGGCATGATCTTTTTTCCATTGTTGAAAATATTTGATTTTTTTTGTTAAATATTAGAAAATGTAATTAATTCTTAAACTGAAAGTCTTTTATTATTATTATTTCTTAAAGCACTCCAGTGAGTGAGTAAATAAGAATGAGCTCATTGTATACAGATGATTGTAGCAACAGAAGTAACCCTTTAAACCTCACTTATTATTTCCTTTGTCTGTCTAATGGTCATGGAAGGGGTTACAAACTTTCAGTGAAAATATTTAAGCGTGAATCATGCCAGGAGTTGGTGGCTAAAATATCTCTAAGATTACTGTGCAAATTTATCCAAGAGGTCATGCAGAGTCATAGAATAACATCCTAAATTGCAGGTTTGTTGCCAGAGTTAGTGTTAGTGACGTGACCAGAAAGGAAAGGAGATTTATCAGGTAATAACAGTCAAGAATATCAAGTAAAACAATAAACAAAACCTTGGGACACAAGTTATATGTGGCTGAATATACTGAGGTTACCACAACTATTTCACAATTGAGACAAAGATAGCTGTTTAACCAAATGAAATTATAACATGTTTCTGTTCAGGGTTCATCTTTATCTAATATCAAAACTGTGGGTCAAGAACAGCAAACCATTGTCTCGTCTTAAAAAAACAATCATAATGCAACACTTGGCATTTTAATGAAAATATTACATTCACAGTACAAAAGCATGAATCGCTTGTGTTGCCCTAATAAGACAGACACTAAATAAGTCATTTAGAAGTGCTGTTAGTTGTAAAAGCTATTTGTGGCTTTCTGCGATGCTCCTTCTCTTGAGCCCGAGGTCTTCTCTCTTTTGACGTCATCTGAATAATCCTCTTCATCATATCTGCACACAACAAACATGACAGATGAAATGTGGACACAAGATGATGAGATAGCTTACAACCAAGCTGCTGCAGGACGAGCTTAGATCACAGATAGGATATCTAGTACCACAGCTACTATGATATTTATGTCAGTAATATTATATTGAACTTAAGTCTGGAGTCTTAACTTTCCAATTGACTTTACTGATGTGTCAATTGGTTTGTATCTTATATTTTCCTATTAGTTTGTGGAATCGATTAAACCGGCCTTTTTAAACAATCTACCAGTGATAGTGAAAGTAGGCCCAGTGTTCTGAATGAGAGACTATTTTGACCTGAATCTGTCTTGGAGGTCTTAAACCTTGTCCACCTGGGATACAAGTTTAGAGAAGTTCAGTCTCATCTTGGGACACAGTCTAATGAACACAGTGGTACTCTGCCCCAGTTTTTGAGTCTCGGCGGACAGAGAGTGCTTGTAGCCCCGTGTGTTGCTTCTATGGAGACTCACTGACCTGTGAGGATGCTGCATCCAGCAGATCCATTGTGGGGATTAGACAGCTGGCCTCGCCCAGGAAACACATTAGGATGTGGAGCACGTCAGCCCAGCGTCCAACAGTCAGCATCAGGACCATCAAGCCCCCGAGACGCACCATCACTGTGTTCAGCACAACCTCGCTGCCAGACGCATGGTGCTGAGCATCTGCAGAACCCAAAACACATCACGATGGGGAAATATTTGGTGAAAATACAGGATGGGTTTGTACGACAGTTAATACTTCTGGATGCCTAAATATATGACATTTGCATTAATGATCACATAAGAACAGGGGGAAGTAACAAACAGCGAGCATTGCACCACAATGTTTGAAATACATGTTCATGTTTTTCCGTGTTCCTCACCCTGCATGTACACCACCAACAGTGTGTAACAGATAGTCAGTGGTGTCCAGAACCTGACAGCCTCTGTTGCAGACAGGAAGTGTTGATTGATGATTGACACAGAGGCCACCACGGCCACGGTGAAGATGAGGATCAGGGTCCTGCACAGCATGGGCAGCAGGCACTGGCCTGATGTGAGGAGGCTGATGCAAACGCCACAGTAGCGCTGCGAGCTGTGGAGTTTGTACAGAGCCATGACATGGTGCATCAGGCGGGTGGCCTGCCGAGCCAGGAACCAGCTGAGTGCTGCTGCCAGGAGCAGACATAGCCAGCGCTGTGACGCCCCCTCGTGGAGAAAGTACAGACTGCAGCTTAGGGCACAGCCCACGGAGAACTGGCTTTGAACCAACACTTGCTGCAGACATGTCCTGTACTCCTGAGGGAATGAATGGGCACATGGAGAGAAATAATGGATGAATGGAAAGAGATAATAGCCTGGTTGCTGTAAACAGGCATTGGATTCATTTTGATTTGATAAAGTCCAGAGAGGAGTACATGCAACAAGTGATTCAAGTCATACATTTGAGTATCAGGCATATTTTTCTTTTGATCAAATAAGCTTCTTACTTGTCCAGATGTGATCAACCCAGACACAGACCGAAGACAAAATTCTAATACCACCAAGGACGCCACACGGGAGCCCACAACAGACAGTATTCCAGTCACAATGAAAAACTGGAGCATCCCAGTAAATCCAGTTTTAGTTCTCCTCTCATGACAAGGTGTCCTCCTCTTTCTCCCTTCATCACTTTCATCACTTTCATCACTCCAGCTGTTAGTTGTGAAAAATGGAAACAGTGTGAACCAGCACTGAAGTAAAAAAAAAACAGTGACACTTCAGTCAGACTAGTCAGATTATATATTTTAACACCAAATTCATCTTCATGTACAGTTCTATTGAAAATACAATTTCCTTACCGCTCTTCCACTAAAAAGAAGTGCACTCTCATCAAGGAGCACAGCACAGAGATCCCACATGCACCTACCAGTCCTGCAGGTCACACAACGTGTAAGCATCACAATATGCAGCCACATATATGTGCAGTTTAGAAACAGCCTGTCGCCATGTTGACATCATAGGAATTAGATGGACGGGGAGCTCACCTTGAAGTAAACTATCCACTGGGTTTGTATCTAGAATCAACCATCCTGGTAGGAAGTAGGAAGTCGGTAGAAACGACTTGATAAATGATAACATTGTACAACCGCCTCTCAAAAGAAGAACATTTCACTTAAAGACCACACGAATCACAAGTTCCAGATTTGACAAGAATGTAAGTTAAGCAATCGCACCAGGAACCATATTTGGTGGTTGCTCCAGATCGGGTTACACTAACATGGAGTCTCAGCTCAGCTCTTCCTGTTTTTTTTCTGTCCCCTCAGGATTGAGCCTGTTCTATGTCCTGTATCAAAGGTCATCTGAGCGTCTGTGGTGCAGAGGCCCCCTGCAGCCTGAGTCACAACAAGATAATGAGGCCGTTGCACCATGGGGAAAAACTCTTTCACACAGAGCAAAGCGTACTGGGCCTGTGTGGCTCAAACCACTGATAACATTCAATTCTGCACCTGAAGCATAAACACACAGAACACAAAAGACGGACGGGACACCTCATGCTAGGGCCGGCCGACTAAACATTATCAATAATTATCGCACAGTAACTTTCATCAATAGCAACATAACATATGCATATCAATATAATACTTGTACATATTGCAAGTGCGGTGAGGAGGTATGACACATAAATGCTTCAGTGTTTGTCTTTCTCTGCTCATAATGAAGATCTCCACTCAGGACCAAGAAAACTTTTTTCAAACTAAACAGAAATAATAATATGATATTTATTGTGATAGTTATTGGTATTAACTACAGGAATATTTTTTATCTTGGTATAAGTTTTGGTCAAATCACTCCAGGTCAACCTGCTGCTCAGGTGGAGGGTCTTCTCAATGAATATCAGAGAGGAAAAGTGTGGTGTAGCAGTGTTCAGTGCCAGATGCTGATTGTCCACTAGGGGGCAGCACTGTACAAGATGAACACAGTTAAAGGTTCAAGGATTTATTGTCATGCGCACAATTACATTTAGCAGTCCCCGGCAATGAAATGCTTGAGTCACAGGCTCCCATCTAGCCATGCCCCGAAAAAATAATAACTGTCTTTGAGCCTGGTGCTGCGGGCACAGTGTGTAAGATTTAGTTGAAATGGATCTATTGGCAGATATTGAATATAAAATAATCCTAGGGGTTTGTTTTCACTTGTGTGCTTCATCTAAGTTGTACGAATTATTGTTTTCTTTACCCTATATAACCACCCTTTATGTTTAAATACTTTATATTTACATTGGGAGTGTATTCTCTATACGAGGGCCGCCATGTTTCTTTACAGTAGCCCAAACTGGACAAACTAAATCTTTTGAGTTTTGATGACAACTGAAGACTACCACAGGTTCTCTTTCATGTTTGGAAGGGGAGGGTGAGGTGAGGAGTATTCAATTACAACATGCAACTTCACCACTAGATGTCACTAAATTCTACACACTGAAGCTTTAATAAGAAAAAGCCCATTGCCTTCTTACAGAACTGAAACTCCAGTTTATGATGGAATTTGTTTCATTCAGGAATCATGTGTCATTGTTTTTGATACATGGAAACTAAAAGTTAAATCAAAGTCTGTTTATTTATTGAAATTATTCTAAATAATATGTGTACCTGTTGCCTCATTGAGGAAGAGTTGAATATTGAAAAGTGTCAAAGTGTGTCTTTCAGGCACCCATGCATCAATATCTGATTTGGTCCAGGTGATATAAAGCAGATAAAGTGAGAGAAACAATTATATTACTTTTTCAAACAGCCTTGGCATCATTGCTGTGGTCGTCATGTCCTATTTCTATTTTATTGTTCACTGTAGTCTGTTTAACTGTAGCCTGAACCTTTGGTTACATCCTCTTTCTGGCAAACAGATACACATAGACCCATTTGGCCATTAAGTTTTTCTTCATCCAGGATGTTTCTTCAAAACATAGAGGAAGCTCTGGGCCTGAATTGACACTTGCTTTACATCCTGCAACTAACTAACAACTTAACCTCAGCTTTACATGACCAACCTGAAATAAAGTGTCCCACTTTTGGTCTGAATCCTGTCCACCATAAGCAACTGTAGCATACAAAGACGACAGGAAATATTGCTTAAAATAAAATTATAGTAATAACGGGAGTCTGTGATGAAATAATACAAAAACTGGGAATCATTTTGATGTGGTCTCATGAAGTTACTTTTTAATAGCTGGTTCTTGTATTTGTGGAGTTGTTATTATCACATTTGTGTAACTGTGAGTTTGTTTTTTTAATTTTGAAACTAAATTGATGACAGAGAAACATGTTCTGTGGAACAGCTAATTTACTTTAAAAAACAACCATGAGAACCCGCTCAGCCGGCAGTGGGAGAACTGGATTTATTAAATCAGTGAGTGTTCATTCCCTCTTACCTAGAGTCATTCTACTTCAATATTTGCATAGTAATACAAAGAGATCTTTAGTGCTGATGCTTCAAAAAAGATTTAATTACAGTTTAATAATATTTTACATTAATCAACAATGGTATCAGTGGTAAAAAATTAAATGCAAAACACATCTCTGCATTAGTCATGTAAAAATGGAACGGTCATTACAAATGGGTACAAATGTACACGTGAAAACACACAGATGCTTTCAATCTAATAAACTTTCATCCTGCGGTTTTGACACAGCATACATGATGTGACTGTAGACAACATGCAGAGAACTGCTGCGGCTCAATTATGAACTCATCCTTCAAACAGCAAGATGACTTGACCTCCGACCTCCCAGTGCATGTGACAAAGCTACTTCTTCTCAGTGAGCATTAGCAAAAAGAATTTTGCCTACAAAGAACAATGTGTAGTGGATATTTCTACATTTAAAAAAACAGCTGAGCCAGGGTTAATCTGATACAAGTGGGGTTTAAAGTGAAGCTGATGTTCTCCGGAAGGATTCAATATCCTCTTGAAGTTTTGTTGTCATGGTGCAACTACATTTCAATCTTGATGATCACGTTACTCCAAATACCTGCAGTCATAACATTAAAACGCACAGTACATGACAATAAGAACAGAACCACATCCATCTATACGTGTGGTTTGTTCCAAAATCACAGACAAATGATGAATGTCAGATTTAACAGTCCTACCCAAACTGCAGCTTGACACACTTCACAAACACATTCCCTCAGGAATATCTCACTCATTAATCCCATGTGTTCAACACATCCTCGTCTTTCTTTTAAGCTGTTGCAGCTCTGATAGGCTGCATTACCCACTTTAATCATGATTCAGTGTTGTCACAGACAGGCTCCTGCAGCAGTGTCTGAATTTCCTATGTTTTCTGGGCTCTCTCCTCCACGTAGAGCTGCATCTGTGAAAGAAAAAGAACAAACAAATATCAGTATTGTATCAGTACCACAACACAAGTCTCTGGAGGGTGAGGGGTAAAGCAGCAGACAGGAGGCAGAACGTAATGTAAAAGTTCCACTGCAGAGATCATGTTTTTGTTTGCAGAACTTTGACACTGGCGTCTGCCTTTATCACCAAACGCTCTCTTGACATCTGCGTCAGTATCTTCTATGTGTATGACACTGCTTTTTTACCCTGAGATATTTGCATTTTTTCTCCCCTCATTTTTTGCTTCCCTGGCATGTTAGAAACGACATCATCACATCCACTTGCATGCGGTGAATCCTGCAAAGGATGTACTGCTGTTTTCTCACATCCTCTCCTTCGAACATACTGTAGTTTTTTTAATTGAGGCGCTGGCTGGAGAGAGTCTGCAGAAAGTCCGTATGCTCTTAATCGGACATTTGCGTTCACACATATACCATTTCCTGAAGGATCTCTGAGTTCAGTGCATGTCTGGAAGATGCTTGTGTTTTTATCTTTGAACTGATGAGAAAGATTTGCTCACTTTTACTATGTCAGAGGTCATGGTCTTCAGTGGGATGAGTCTCGGCTCCTGCATGTGGACTTCTTGTTCATCAGCAACAATCCATGGGAAATCCTGGGGGGGGGATGCACAAACATGAAACAGCAAATGCATGTGATTATTCTGTGCTTACGATTCTACCAAGTAATAAACATACTGCATCATGTTTAAACCTGTGTTGATGGTTTAAAAAAAAAAACTCACCTTGATGACTTGAACCTTCTCCATGTTACGTGTGGCAGCGTCTCTGGTGTGTACTAGTACTGTGAAGGAACACCCTGTGAGAAAAAATAAATCACACTAAGAAATCTATGATTTGTATCTATTCCATTATGGATATAATTTACATGTTATATAATCTCTTTAACAACAAAGGCCTCGCGATCGCAATCTTAATTATCTTTTAAATAATTTTTCTCTCTAGTGGCTCAACTTTTCACTTGCTCAAAGGCACTCTTCTGTAATTTTAGCGAGCCGACTGCTTATGAAGAGCTGGATAGAGACATGTTTTGACTCAGGAGATTATTATACCCTGAATTAAACCTTGCAGGCTTACACTTCCTCTGAAGTTACACCCAAATCCTGTCTCCTTTGCTAAGATATACAAAGGCATACGTCTCCCTAGCTGAGGACTCATATGGAGTGAGAGCGCTGGCAGAGTCCGGGCAGGCAGGCAGTTTGGTTAGTGGTAGACAGGTGTTACATGCAGCCCTGAGAGGGCCACAGACACCAGGTTTTTTCTTCAGACAACTTTACTGATGTCTATCAGGACATGGTGAGGATGTCAATGAATAAGATAAAAAGTATTTTACAAACAAATTACAAACACAACCTTTAAGTGCTGAACTGAATTGGATTAGTTGTTGCATATCAGCATAAAATAATCAAATGTATCTGTTTCATTAACCTCCACACTATTTAAGAGTGTGCCTTTGCCGTGTATTTCTAAAGTAAAAATGCTGTTACCTGGTGGGTTATTATTTAAAACCGCATCACACACACTGATCTTCAGGATGAATGCCCTCAACAGCTGCTCCACGTGTGAAAGTAGAGTGTCAGAGCTGCAAAGCAAAAGAAGAGTTGAGGACCACGATCATGCTGACAACATGTCACAAAACAAGCATGTAGATCTTTCAGCAATATGTGAAGGATATAGATCTATATTCATTTCTGAATAAATACATAAATAAAGGAAAAACCTGATGGACAGCAGTGGAGGTTGGGAAATCTCAAACACAAATCTCTCAACTGGATGATGCTCTTTGTCCATGATGACCACCACCACCTTCTCTGCATCATTCTGGGAGGAAAGTGTTAGATTTTATCAGAGGGGAAACACACAAAATCAAATATTGGCCGATCGGCTTCAGGTCATGTCTTACCTTTTCAATCAGCGGCTTTACGCAGTGCAGCGTGTCTTGTATATACTGATTCAGCTCTGGGTGACATGACATCTACAAATAAACACACCAAAGACAGAAGGTATAGCTAAATGTGACTTCCAACAAGATGTGAGCATATAATAAATACACATAAATTCTTCTGTACCTGCACAGGTACGTTGTATTTCTTTCTCTTCTGAAATATTCCAGAGGGATAAACTTCTCGGACGTACAGGATGAGGTGAATAGCGACCTCCAGGAACTCACACAGGATGTCAGCAACCACTGCAACGAAACGAATCCATAGGACGTGAATTATCTTATGTCTTTGCTCTCGTATTGACAGACTCACACCAAACCCAGATCAACTAATCAGCTATTGAGTGTTTACTCATAATGACGAGAAAAGGGGGTCGACAGCATGTAAGGGAAACTTTATAGAAATACAGAACTGATTTGTTTATGCTAACACTAGCACATGTTCGTGAATAAGGAAATGTATTGTATCGAGGCATTGCATTTGTACATTTCACGGTAATGTTGTTACCTTACCTTGTCCGAAGTTGAGATCTTGTCTTGTTAGAGTTGTCATGTTTTCTTCTTCACTAACTATCGAATGAAACAAATACAAGCTAATTTTCCAGCAGGCTCACGTTAGCAGCCTGTCAAGCCTTCATCTTCTGTTTTGTAAGTCCGACTGGACGATGTCAACCCGAGTGAAAGCAGAGGTGAACTGTGAGTTTAAAGAAAGATACTACAGAAACACTGAGGCAGATTTTAAAACGTATTCAAATTAAATAAATTTCACGACCCGAGGTGACACCGCTCTCTGTTGTTTATATACCCCCGCGACGTCGGCTGTCTGTGTCGTCACTCGTTGTTTGCAAGCCGTCCACTTGTGATGACGTAACATTTTGCGATTCTACTTTGTGCAAGAAAGGAGAAGAAACTCAATACATTTCCTTTAAATCAGTTTTTTGTGTAATTCTCCGACATTTTCTGAAGATTTGTGCAGAGCATAAAAAGGTCGACCCCCAATTTGGGGGTGAGTATCTTGCCTAAGGACACTTTGGCACGCAGATGGTCAAGACTCTTTGTGAATAATTAAATACGTTGTTGTGCTACAGTTCAATGTTATCTTTAAACGGTTTATATGGTTATTGTACACTTGATACCGTCCTTTAAATTGTCTTTTATGAATGTAATATTCTTTTTTACCTCTGATACTTTTTGGAAACTGTATGTATATTTATTTAGTTTTTTTATATTGTATTATGATTGTAAGTTTCAAGTTGTTTGTAAGAAAAGTGCTTAGATACTTGTATTGAACAACGCTACACACATTTTAATTCAATTTTAGTTCACGTTTTACATGTAAAATATGCATTAATCTCTCTCTCTTACACACACACACTCACACACACACACACACACACACACTAACACACACACAAACACGTCACGTGATTGCTCTCTGGTCACATCAGTCCCCTCACTTGATCACCTGATCTCCGATACATGATTACTGTTATTGATGATTAAAGGTAAAGGTGAACAGTGTGGAGAGTTGGGAGCAGCAGCGGTCACAGACTCGCAGTCGTTCACGGAGGAAATCACATTTACAAAGCGTAAAAAAACAAGAGAGTAGCGTTGCGTCTGTTGCGTGGATCAACTCTAACGATCCTGAGACCACCGGGATTCGTGTCCATGTTCTCCACTGCTCGTCGGGGTTCGACTGTGTTGCACCGAATGATGCAGTGATGCAGCTCTGGAGAAGCTCTCAGGACACACGTCACTGCAATTAACGCCTGGGACAAAAGAGGATCTGGATCCCGAAGCAAGAGTCAAAGCAGCTCGAGTAAGATCAATGAAAATCATGTGAGTCCAGCCTCGGCATTAAATCAGACTCACCCGGGGAAAAAACTGAAAATGATATATTTCCCAGGGCTTTTACTTTGAAATTCAGATTGTCCTGATATTGTCCGACTGAGACTCTGAGGTGGTGGACTGTCATTGCGAAGTGAAATACGTTTGTGGAAAGCGGTAGTTTATTTTTAATGTCAATCTGAATTAAGAGGAAGTATGAAATAAGTCTGTGGAGACAGGTAGATTCTCAATGACCGTCCGTCTCTTGTTTTGTTGCTTGTAATTCAGATATGTCTTCATTTTACTGTTTTACTTATTAATCACACAGTATCAATGAGTTGATTCATTTGTTCTCTGAACATTACCTTCCTTCCTTCACAGTGTCACGTCCCATTCACAGGAGTGTCGCCTTTTAGTTTGAAATCACTCTAACGTGCTACGTAATGTTTGTGGAAAATGCGCACCCCGGAATGAGCGGGGGAGAGTTTGGCTATGTGTTTTGAAGTGGGAGCTTGCATTGTCTGTCATACAATACTAAAGTGGGTTTCTCATGGTGCCCATCAATCCGCCAGGCTTCAATATAACCTGATTTCAAGGGCACGTGTGTCCTAATCAATGCTGCAGCCACTATGTTTACGTTGATGAGGACGTTGTTCAAACAATGAGGTGACTTAGCAGGTAAACCAGTTCGACTAAGATCACAAATCTTCCTTTGCATGTAAACTAATGCTTTAATAATAATAACACACGAAATGTCTGTTTCAAGCCATTGATGAAACACAAGTGGAGAAAAAGTAAGGTGAGGAAAATTCTTTGAAAATGAAGTCACATGAAGGGGCCTGGTAAGAGGTTCAGCAGGATTTTGACTTCACACTGGACCTTAATTTGACTTTACTCAAATGCATGTGGGCTTACAGCTGTGGCACAGAAGGTAGACAGATTCCTTACTGAACCTTTGTGAAAATAAATATATGTGGTGCGTAAATTATTAGGTAAATGTAAATGTGGTGTGTGCAAAGAATGTGTGTGTGAATGGGTTAATGCGACCTGTACTGTAAAGCGTTTAGAGTGGTTTAGAGCTCCACCCTCCAAGGGGCCCCCAGATTTCAGAAGAACAATTGATGCTTAAGGCTGCCGCTGCCCATATCAGTTTATGGTCAGTAATATATTAACCACTCATGGTTGTGACACAACTGATAGTTTGCGGTATAGAAGCTGTTAAACATCATCCTCAGGGATTATCTTTACGACTGGTCGATCTCACTGGTTTTCTTTGCAGGTTGTGAAGTTGTGGAAGACATGCCTTTTGTGGAGTTCATAGCTGGGAGCATTTCAGGTACAGCGAAATCGTTTTGAATACAGTACTATTTGCATAATAGTATTATAGTTGTATACATGTGCAGAAACAAAATTTGCTTGCTGGTTATTGTATTGTAGGCGCACTGGGACTGGCAGTTGGACATCCATTAGACACTGTGAAGGTTGGAGAACACACTTTAGTTTATAAACCCGATGAATTGCATAAAACCAGCTTTTTTTCGGACACATTATGTTTTATTTGTAGGTGCGTCTGCAGGCCCATTCCATGTATAAAGGAATACTTCACTGTGTGGCTAAAACATACTCTCATGAAGGGGTAAGGGCCACACACTTTTCAACAGTTTCACAACATATCACCACATAAATAGCACCAGCCTCCACTTATTGATGCTCACTTACAGTATTCATTTTTTCCCCATTAGCTCCATGGTTTCTTCAAGGGCATGGCATTTCCGGTGCTGACCACCGGCATCATCAACTCCATTGTCTTTGGCTCTTACAGTAATGCCTTGGATTACCTCACTCAGTCTCAGCGCTGTGACCGTAGCAAACCGGCCTCGGCTGCACACGTCTTTACTGCTGGCTGTTTCTCAGGTCTGATGCAGGTAAGAACACCTCACGTTCACTGGCTGCTTTCATCCAAAGCACCTGGAAGGACAATGGCTGCAGATATTACTGGCATAACGACTGTAGGACTCCACAGTATTATAGAACTGACCATTCCCAGGCTGTGAAAATTCTCCATTCACAGAGGCAGCAGCAAAATTACTTCTAGTTTTATTCAGCATTTTTGTGTTCCACAGTTTAGCAGTTTCAGGTCCATAAGCCCTCTCATTCATATTTGACTCGAAACGGCATCATTCACACCATGTTTTATCCTAAATGTTCGCTGCTCCTTTTCTTTGACTTTTTATTAACTTCTAACTAAATTGAATTGGATTTGGCTGCAACACTGTTTACCCCTGAAAATCCAGAACTGTTTTCATGGACTCAAACACTTCACCCACCCCTTTATTGGCATAGTGATGAGTAGATAATGAGTGAATTTAAATTTTTGGGTGAACTATCCCTTTAAGTGGGCAGCTGTTAAAGAGCGGGCCATCCACAATCCAGAAGTTCAGTGTGTATGAATGGGTGAATGCCACAACTGTACTGTGACGCACTTTCAGTGGTCATCAAGACTAGAAAAGGACTATATAAATAAATACCATTGAACTTGGATGGTTATTGTTTTCAAGTGGTAATTTACCCTGGTTCTCATGTTCAGGCTGAAACTATAGTTTAAACATTTGTTGTCTGAAACGAATCAGGGCCTCATTCAGATCAGACTCATCTGGAGAGAAGCATGAACACGTTACTACTGTCAATAATAAACCCAACCTTTAGTCTTATACATTCATTAACAAGGACCAAAATAACAGTTAAGAATTAGTCTGATGTCAGTATCTTATCCGACCACCAGGAGGCTTCCAAGAGGCTCTTCAACCAAGCGCTGACTGGAAAATATCACAAAGGAACAGAGAGGGCTCCTCAGCAAAGAGAAAAGGAAGCACCCGAGCCTGTTGTTACTGAAGATGACGTGTTTCATGAATGAGGTGATTGGACGATAGATGTCTCCTCTTCATAAGTCAACTCCCTGTAAAATAGCTGCAACAAAAATTGGTGTTCAGGAGATTAAAAAAATTAAATTCATTTTTGTTACAAGAATCATAAGCCTGCCTGCACTCTTGCTGACAGTATAAACTCATAGGCAGGGATCACATAAGTGCGGTAATGTGCTCACAGTCACAGCCCTATTGTACAGTAAGTCCACTCTGACTAACCGCATCATCCAGTTTTATTCAGTGGGCGAAAACAGGTGGCTCAATTGTACCTGCAGCCCTGCAGATCAAGTTCCACTGTCAACAAAAGAACAGGGTGGTGGAAAAAAGGGTGGGAGTATGTTGTATTTGCCAAAACATTAAGCTGGAGCACAGGAAGTCTGCAAGTGCACAGTGTGAGCACAAGCTGAGCATATATAAACTCAAGAACGCAAAAATACTGTCTGAAATAAAAAACTATCTTCATGGCTTGTAATTTGGGTGGACTGACCCTTTTAATGACTTGTTTCAGGTGTCTGTCTGTGCACCTATCGACCTGGTGAAGGTGCGTCTGCAGGGTCAAACATCTGCTAACCGATACCGTGGACCCATTCACTGTGTTGCCGTCATCCTGAAGGAGGAAGGACCCAGAGGTCTGTTCAGAGGAGGGCTGGCCCTCGCACTGAGGGATGTACCCTGCTACGGACTCTACTTTTTGCCGTATGAGGTCACTCGAGTAGCCCTGACAGGGAGTGGCAAAGAATCAGGTCAGCTTCACAGAGATCGACTCAACAGCACTAACCCTCATGAAGCACTACCACAGACGCGTTTGAGGCTGCAATCGAATTGTTGCTCATTAATTTGAATGGGGTGACACCATGCATTGCTGCACTGCATTTTGGTTTTGCTGCTTTGGTTTAGTTTGCTTTACTTGTGTATGTAAAGCAAATACAGGTTCTGCCTGACTGCAAATGTCAGGATGAGCTGGTGTTTGTTCATCTGGTTGTGGACTTCACTTTCAGCATTGCATATGCAGCCAGCACGGCACATTATTACCAAATGTGGCTATGTTGTCTGTCCTGAGCGTGAAAGTATGATTGGTTGTTGTCGCCATGGCATTCACACCAGCACCAAGACTCAGGCACATGGCACGCCCACTGTCAAGTCAGTCAAATTAAGTAAAAATATACATATAGTATGTATGTATTATACTTTTGATATAAGTCAAAATAAAATATAAAATATATGTCATTATAAAACCTAATTTGGGGTTTTTCCGATTCATTTTCCTGTCATCTTTTTGTGTTTCTTGGTGGAAAAGTGCTTCCATATAAGACATCAAAGTTGTTTAAAAAAAGCTAAATATAACAACTACAGAACAATGTTGAGATTTGCACTAGCTCTCCCAAATGCAATTTAACCACTTCTGTTATGTTTCTCATTTCTCACATGACTTAAGTTCTTAAGTCTTCTGTCATCAGATACGTTTGCAATATTGATGGCAGGTGGCATCGCAGGAGTGGTGACCTGGATCTTTGCCACGCCCATGGATGTGGTGAAAGCCCGACTCCAGATGTCAGGGGCGGGCGGACGGGAATACAGCGGAGTCCTGCACTGCATGAGAGTGAGTGTTAGAGAGGAGGGAGCAAGGGTGTTTTTCAAGGGCCTGCTACTCAACAGCCTGAGGGCCTTTCCCGTCAATGCTGTCACCTTCCTCAGCTACGAGCGTCTGATGAAGATTTTCTGTCCATCAGCGAGATGACGAGAAGTCTGACAATGACAAACTGTCACTGAAAACTGAAAAATCTTCGGTCCAGTCTAACTCTGGTGTCTGGCGCACAGTTGACAATGTTTAGGTGCTAGCTGTTAAAACTAAACTGTTGTTAGACCTCTTTGTCCTGAAATTGTTGAGATTCAACAAACTTAAAGGGACAACTAAAACATCTCCATGACAACTGAGCCAACTCATCTGCTAATGAAGGCTGTGACATCTAGTTCAAGGACTTTGCCTGAAAGCAGCTGCAATCAAGATTCAAATGACAAATGAGTTTAGTGTGAATAGGACTTCTCATAACCACACCTTTAGAGCACATTAGTTTATCATCTTTCAACTTTACTTTTGATTTGATTCATCCCCAATAATCACATTAGTATCATTACACCATTTGCCTGATGCCAAAGAGCAACTACAATGCCAATTTAATACTAATCCATGTTTGCTAACACACTCAATATGCTAATTTGGTGATTTGTCAGCATTGTGTTGTTTGTTTATAGCATAGACTCTATGTAAAGATGGATGACATGACAGCTCCTCAAAAGTAAAGCCAAAGTGTCTAGCTCACCACCTGGTTGCATTAAAGGTCAGAAAATTCCTCCATCTTAGAGGATGTGAAATGTCAAAGTACACATTAAATTCATTGTTGAAAGATGGCTTCTGTCACTGTAGGTAGTTCTTATCAAACTGTTTGTTCAATAGTTCATTTTTCTGGTAGGTTTGGTTTTAATTAGTTATTTGATGCTTTAAAAACAGGTTGAAATGTCATGATTGAGTCACGAATGGTTGAGCACTTCTATTGGTGAGACTGAATATCCGGTATGCTACTGTGCATATTTTGGCTCCAAATGCAGAACATGGCAGCTATTGCAAACCAAGATATTTTGGTATCTTTGCTTGATAGTGGGAGGAACCGGAGACACTTGTTGACATGTGCAAACTAATTATTATAAAAGATAAGTAGGATATTTCCAAAAACTATTGGTCTGCTTGTATACTGGTTGATCACTCAAAATACAAAATTGTATTCTCTCTACAAAGTCCACCGCCATTACGTCCTCGCTAAGGAGTAACATCACAGAATATTTTCATATCTGATTTGCATGATCCCAAATATAGAGTTCAAATCTGCTCTGTCCATCTTCTACTCTTAGCATCTGTATACCTTAATGATAAACTACATGGATTTGTGTTTTTTATGAGCGTCTTACTGAGAAACATGCTCAGACAATTAGAGGAAGCTGGTAGAATGAACGTGTTTATTATGTAAATTAATAAAATGTTCAAGTCAGAAAAGAAATAACCAACTTTTCTGTGGCACAAAAGTAAAGCAAGCATAAACATTCATAAAAATGCATTAGAAAAAACAAAAAACTATCTGACAATTATTACCACAGATGTGTCAGAGAACCGATGGACTTTGTCAGTCACTCTCGACTAATAGATAAACTGAAAGAAGCCTGGACACATGTGCAGAGCAGGAGACTGGGAGCAGTTATCTCAGAAACATTAACATGATTAGATAATTTTTTGGCACTAATGTGTTTGTAAAAAAAAAAAAAAAAAAGTGAGGCGCTGGCAACACCTGGTGAATGTGAACTTTAATTTATCCTGAACTTCTCCATCAGCTGTTGTTTGCATTTAAAGTAGGCCATACGATAGCACATAGAAATATGTTTTACATTAAATAAAACAGGGGCCAAAAGCGTTAAAAAAAAAAAAAAAAGGTTTCTTACAACTTTAATTTTTTTGTTTTATATTTGTTTAGGATAACACAGCAATCACCTGAGAAATTGGTACACAGTGAAACAGATCAGATGACTACTACACAAACATGATTTACTTTATCTGGAGGTCAAACGAATGGAAACATTTGTAATGTTGCTATTAATCTCTCTTTGCACAAGAAGCAAACAACTGTATGAGAGAAAGTCAAAAACCAAACCAGGGAGGTTTTTTTGTAAGCTCAGATGGATGATTCTAACAGATTGAATATTCATTTTACCATTCACCTTATTTTACTGACTTTAAAACCTTGAACTGTCTGGTTGTCAGACTTAACTGATCTGAGCCAATGAGCCACAAAATAAAATAAAAACCAGACTTGCAAATTGTATTAATTTTTTTAAGATTATGAATGTGTAATAATCAGTTACTCATCCGTTAATTAATTTACTGATCAGGGTTGCCAGGGATGCCATCCCAGCATGCACTGGGGGAGTTAGTTTACTAAGAAAATAAAAAAATAAAAAATCATAGCACATAAAAGTTCCTGATAGATGATAAGCATTCCTTGAATGCAGAATGTGGCTTTCAAATGTTCCTCATGGGGCTTTTTAAAAAGTGTCAGTCAGTCAGCCAGGCTAAGCTTTGGCTCAACAAGCCTCCAAAGAGCCTCACATCTCAGGTGATTGTGCCCTATTCACATCTCAAACTTTACAGAGTAGGTTACACCGTCACTACAGTAAAATCTTACAGCTTCGATGCTCCACAGATATTCACTATAGCACACTACATTCAGCAGATGCTGTACCACAGATGAGATAAAATCACTTCCCACCGGAATTGTTTACAGAAGTCACTTCCTTCAGACAGCTGAAGGAAACCCTGAGCTTCCTCATTTTACTGACCAGTTTTCATCAAAGCATAGAATCAAGGATGATTATAAAGGTCGAGGTGAAAGAAGATTCTGTTCCAAGGAACTAGTGTTGACATGGTTAGACCAGCGACCTGTACCAAGCCACACACCAAAGTCTTCTTCAAGCATTAAGACATGACATTGACACTGAATGAAAAAAAAAGTATCAGTGTTTTTTCTTTAAAGCAACTTTACGAAACTATTGCACCTTAAAAAAATATTCTAAATCATTTTGATGGTTAACTGACTTGCAATAGGTTCATCTTTCATTCCCACTCACCAGTATCTGTTATTGAACTATGTTACTTCTGTTAACAGGATAGGATCTTCTGTGACAGTAATAAAAAAATAACAGTCAGTGGCTTAAACTGCCAGAAACAGGTGCAGCAGGTTGAACAGGAAAGCTGAACTGTACATCATTTAAAAACTCTTCTCTGATGTTCAGTTTGAAAAATGTTGTAATAATTCAGAGTGCGTTTGTTACTGCAACAGCTCTGCAGGTTCTGGAAGCTGGTGATCAAAAGGAATAACTACTGTTCATTTCACTCAGTGGAACTTTGCAGTCATTGTTCAGATCAAGTGATTGACAGGCTTTGTTTCCGGTCCATGAAAATTGATTAAAAAGGACCGGTGTGTAGGATTTACACGGATCTAGCTACAGAAATGGAATACAATGTTTAAAATTATGTTTATATTAGTGTAAATCACCTAAAAATATGAATCCTTGTGTCATGTAGTCTGACATGTTGTGCTGCCATGTTTCAACTTTAGCCAGTGAGGCAAGGAGTAGGGGACAGTTTGCAATATGCAACTTCACCGCTAAAATGCCACTTCATGCTACACACTGAAACTTTAGCTGCATGGACTTTCAGCCCAACGAAATTAATCACCTCTTGTTGCTCAGCAAAGCTTGCATATTGTTGCTTCTCTGGCAGAGTGTAAATATCCAGTAATCCTGTCTGGACAGCCACAGGCGAGCAAACAGATCATTGTTCATAATTTGATCCCATTTAAAGCAGCACGTCTGTCCTTTAAGTGCCAAGACCTCTGTGAGAGTGAGGAGCGAGGAAGTCCTGGTCGTCCATTAGTGGTTTGTGGTTCTGCTCAGCAGCCATTGCCTGTAAGTTCTGTCTCTGGATCTGTCTGGCCTTGTTGTAAAAGAAGACCCCGATGAACACGAAGATGGTGCCGGTGGCGCTGAGGATTGTGATCTTGTTACTGAACACGATGACGCTCAGCCACACCGAGAGGGCGTGCTTGACAGTACTGGCAACACTGATGGAGAAAGAAAGTATAAGGGTTGTTACTATTGTCGTTAACATCAAATCAATTCAGTTCCTGGTCTCAGTAAGATTGTTGCCTGTTTTGAGAAACATGGTTTGGACGCTTCCTTCACTCCCATTTTAAACTGGTTAATCTAACAGCAGTTAACTCCTTCTGAAGTCAGTGAGCAAGCCAGAGATGTTAGATACCATTTGACTGCATTTTAGAGCGCGAGCTACCAAAATCCAGTACTGTGGACCCCTCCTGAAACAGAAGCAATACTTACACCCCCAAACACCCCTCATCTGTACTCACTGTAAAAATAATAGATGGAAAATATTATTAAATATTAAATGGATTGTAACTCCAGCTGGCACGATTGTGGTTTGCTGAGTTAGAATTAATAGAGTATTAGCTTATGTTGCTAATCATTGGATTGCTTTGTTTAAAAACAGGATTATTCTAGGACGAGCTCTGGAGAATCTTTTGTCTATTAATTCCATAATTAGTGGGATGTTTCCACACTCAAGCATCACGTGGCATGAGTTCACAAATGTATACGTATGAATGTATATGTACAGTAGTTTGTAGACCATGCAGGGTACCACTTTAGTCAACTAGAATATGGCCTGACAATTTAGAATTTGCAAATCTATTTGCATCTATTCCACGACAAAATCTGATGTCTACATTGCCTAGAGTGCAAATTGACCACTGACAGCAGATTTGAGGAGTGGACTACTGATGTTTTCATTTTCAAACTTGAATTCCTCAAATCCAGACATATGCCCTTATAACCACAAAGACCTGTAAACAGACTTGTGTAAAATCGTCACAGGTCCCCTGAGGGTGTGCAGTGTGCAGTGTGCATGACTGAACAATCTGCAGACACAGCTCGTTATTACCTAAAAAACCTCACCGTGAACTCTGCTGTCCTGGAGATAAAAGTGATCATAGTCAGCATAATACAGTGGCCAGTAGTGTGTATTATTAACTGTAGGTGGAATAAAGGAGTGGTTTTTACAGGTTTGCACGCATTTCCTACCTGAAGGTAACAGGGGAAATCCGACCCATGAGAGCATAGGCAGTGACGCTCTGCAGGTGGAACAGGCCACCGTCAAAAAGCAGCAACAGGATAATGTCTTGACTGAAGATAAGGCTCCGCCCGCTCTTCCCAATCACTGGAAAGTCCTGAAAACACAGACACACCCCGTGACATTTACACTGGTACATCAGTCTTGACCTTTAGTCCTGCCACATGCAGGACTGGCAACTGTCCAACATGCACTTATCTGTGTCGTGCTGCTTTTATATTTCAGAAAATCAATCCCACTATTCACTTAATTATAATTTGTACAGTAATTACACAGGTTTAGCCCTGACAATAATTTAAAGCAATAATAATTGTCGCAACATTTCTGTGTTCACCTACCAGGAGGAACATCCAGGCAGGTATAAGCATGATGACTGCTGCTGCACTTGTATAGAACTGCAGCTCTGGAGGGCTAAAATACATTCAGTAGATCATTAATGAGTTTCTATTTTTACAGAAAGCTGTCATTTTACTTTTATATATGGAAAGTATCACTTTTACCTGAACTTGTATGTGTCTCCGCTGAGCAGCTTTTTGGAAAACACGTTCTGTAAACTGAGATCAGAGATAACCGGTTAAATAAATCATCACAGTGCTGATGTGGCTGTGTGGATTACTGCAGTACCAGTCCATGACGTTGGTGGAGAGCGCGGCGGAGAAGCCGAGCATGTTGAAGCTGATCTCTGTGGCTGTGCACAGGGCCAGGCCGGCCATGACAGGGAACAGGGACAGGTTCACCCACAGGCCTGCAGGTTGCAAAATAAACAGCACACATAATGAAAAAGGGGAAAACTCTTCAATACCACATCACTCCTTACCTCCTTTCACTGTCAAAGCTCTTCTGGTATTATACTTGGGAACCAACAGTCAGTTACAGTTAGAGAAGCTGTTCCAAACTGTCCAAAGTGTATACCTCAGAATTTATCCGTTGTTTTTTTATCAAAGCTGGTGTTTTTCTGACAGTTGTGCATTACAAAACAATGACGTCAAACTCTACACTGCTGGAAACAATGAGGGGGAGTCATGTCAGAGAGGAAGATTCCAAACCAGGCCTGTTACTGAAAGTAAATATCCTGTCATAGTACCTTTACAGATTTTTTATTTGAAAAAGAATTGATGCTGTACAAATATTTTCATCCACAGCTAAGAGAATAAAAGTCACAGCACAATCACTAAATTTGTCATAAAAGCTTTGCACCCCATTCTAAATAGCAGGATAACCAGAATTATGGAGGGTCACCTGCTTTCCAGAAGGTTAGTCATGCGTCACTTGATGTCAGACAAACTGTGAGTGATCTCTAAAGTTAGATTATGTAAGTGGATGGAGATGGTTTCTCCTCCAGGGCATAAAAACAAGAAATTTGAAACTACGTTTGTACAACATGATGGGAAAAGTGAGTTCTTGCTGAGGGGGGAAGAGTTCTTGTAAACACAGCTCAGAAAACGTTTGTCAGCCACCTGCACTGTGTTGAGAAGTATAAAGTAAACAAGATGACACTCTGTTATCTTACGATGATATCATACCAGTCAAAGGTACAGTGTGTAGAGTTTTGTAATATCTAGTGTTGAAATTGCATGTTGCAGCTGAACACTCCTCACCTCACCCTCCCCTTCCAAACATGAAAAATAACCTGTGCTAGCTTCAGTTGTCATAAAAACTCAAAAGGTTTAGTTTGTCCAGTCTGGACTAATGTAAAAAACACCCCCTCGATGTAAATATAAAGTATTTAAATATAAAGGGTATTTTCTGGGGTAAAGAAAACTACAATTCATACAATTTAGATGAAATGAACTAGTGAAAACATCATGAGGATTATTCTACATTAAATTTCTGCCAATAGATCCCTTTCACCTAAATCTTACAAACTGGACCTTTAAGCATTGAAAGGTAAATGAGATAAATATCTCTCAGCATGCATGAATATTTGGATTTTACTTTGAATACTGCTTAATGTCTGTGATTATGTTATGGGCATTCCACTTTAAAGTTTTATTTCACATATTGTGTTTTATATATCGTTGCAGATCAAGGATCACAGCTGCAGCAGCATCATGGATCGTTGTGGCAGCTGATCGTGGATTATGATTTCAACTAGATTGCTTAGATATCAAATATACCCACATGTACTCCTGTCAGACATTATCTTTTTTTCCCATTATTTCAGGATTTACAGGACACCTTGGTTCAAATACATCAACAGATACCATCCTTAGCAGCTGGTATTACCACATTTCTTGACCTTATACAGACATACACAGATTAGTGTACCACTAAATCATGTGTCATCAGTGTCTACCTGTGTACTCCCCGAGGATCAGCCGGGACATGATGACAGTGAAGATGGGCGCTGAGCTCTTCACCGTCTCTGCAAACGACACCGCCACATTCTTCAGGCTCACCAGGCCCAGAACCACGGTGGTGAACCTGACAAAGACCCGGCCAATTTAGAAAAATCCACGATTAAGTTTGCACTACTTTCTCATAAGCTAAATAGTTTCTAATTGGTGATTGGCTAATTTGGGCTGCATCAGTACAAAAACACTGGTAAAAGTCACAGGAGTTGTTATTTAGATAGATGCATACATATGAGAAACGTGTGTTTGAAGTAATCCTGCGGTTTGTAGACAGAGGAGCTCACCTCATGAGTCCAACAAATAACATGATCATGATGAAGTTGGGAGGATACTCCGTTCTGGACTTGTGCTGGTACATGCAACAGGGGACATACATCTTCAGGCAGCCAATGACCGTGGTGGACACCATCTGAACAACACCTGGGGAGCGTGAGAGAGACACAATAGAGCTACAGCAGCAAACCCCTACAACATGAATATCAAAAAAGCTGAAACTGAAACCTGATTCACCATCACCTTGTTCTTCCCAAAGACAAAGCTCACAGGTTCATTTTTATTATAGTATCTGCAGCAGCTCAGCTCTACCTGCTGCAGGCTGTGTGTTTAAGGCTCAGCCTTTTATTTTCATTTATTTTAGTTAGTGAGAACTATCCTGCAGTGACACATAAACGATTGAGGCAGTAAATCCGACATCGTAAACAATTTGATGTTTAAAGTGTAAAAGTGAGTCTTAAACTGTTTAAGGGAGCGAACATGTTCATTGTGAAAAAGGTAATTTCATATCTTTTCTTGCTTCACAATTCTTGGCATGTGGCAGACAACTCTGGTTATTGAGGTGTCCCTGAATGCACCAGAGGAGTTTCTTTAAAACTATCTGCTCATATCCACATCACCAGTTGTGCAGGCATTTTGTTTTTGAGCAGGTTTCATGTCTCTGCATGTTCTTTTACAATCCTGGAAGAAAGTAATTCTAAACACTCGTGGCTCAGTTATATTCATCATGCATAGGCATTCAGATTAAAACCTGTAAAACTTGTAAAACATGTTTCATTTAACTGCATTAATAGTAAATATGAAAAGTGGAAATATAGTTTGTCCCTACCCAGCATGCTGGGCTCCCCCTCCAACAATGTCAGGATGTATTTGTTGAGGAACAGGGTGCAGAAGCTGAAGAAGTACCAGAAGCCCAAGTAGGTGAGCGAGCGCAAGTTCCAGACCCCGGACTCAGCCTCGATCACTGTGGTCTCTGTGACCGTGATCTTCAGGAAATGTTCCCCTGGCAGGCTCTCGCTGCGGGCCAGCACCACCCGCTCCTGACGGTTGCGGAACGGCGACAGGAGGCGCCACAGCGGATGCCTGGCAGAATGCCTTCTGCCAGACATCCCGCTGCGTGCTACCTGAGGGCCCTCAGGGGCCCAACAGGTGGGTGATAAGATCAGGAGCTGATAAAGTGGTTTTTTTTAGAGGTTAGTCCATCTTCTGATTGGTGCAGCAGGAGATGATGATGATGATGGGCGTGCTTCAAGGACTGGTTCTCTTCTGCTGCAGCTGGAAATAAAAAAACACATCTGTGTGAGGTGAGACGAAAATAGAATCAGAATCTTTGCAAAGCAGTTCATACTTATCACAGTTCTGTTAATATGAAGTGTTTTGTCTAATATTTCACATACAATCACAGTCCCAATTCTTTTAATGATTAACACTGTATTTGTTTTTAAACACTTGGATAAGATGAGATAAGGCATATTGTGACTATAGCAATGTCCCCACCTTCTAAGCTCTGCTGAGGAATGGTATACATAACTTTATGTTTACATTTAACTGACTCAATAAAGGTAATTGTTGGAGGCTTAACTGAGACAACAATGACTGACACAAGGTCTTGTTGTGTCACTCCAGAAGTGACTCATCTTCTTCTGACCTGCTATTCAGATATAAAGCTTATAAACATATTGCACCTACAATGCTTTGAGCATACCAGCTGTGTTATAATACCTACTTACCGGTATGTTATACTTTAGTCATAAGAACTCCATAGAAACACAACAGTGTGGCAGAAACTGATGATTTGGTTGAGATCAGATAGAAACTCTGGACCTTTAACCCACTCAGAGTGCACAGAAACTCAGCAGCGTGACACAGAAACTGAGCTGAGATCAGAGGAAAGAGATTTCAACACAAACCTCCAGTCACACAACTCTGTGCGTTCAACCACTCAGGCTGCGCGTCAGTCTCTGCTGTTTCTTCTCAACGCGAACCCTGCGGTCGGTCCGGTGAGCAGAACATTCACACGCTCACCTGTGTGCGCGCGGATGCTTCAGTCTGCGGCGGATACAAGTGTGTGAGTGGACGAGGCGGCAGGTCGGCGCGGAGATGTCCTGAGGAGGCGGAAGTTGCACGCTGACGCTCGCTACCTGCTGTTCGTTAGCGGCGGCAGCGCAGCACACAAAGAGGAAGCCAGCGAGCCGGGAGTGATGTCCGCCATGTTCCACAGCACAGACAGGAGACTACGCGGACACACACGCAGCTTCACATGCAGCTTCTCCTCTGCTGGTAAACACGTCAATGCTGCTACCGGACCGCTGCAGCTTCACGCTATCGGGAAACTACCACAGAGTACAACACCAGCCTTTCAAAATAAAAGCCCCACTCCTGAATTACTTTCAGTACTAACCCAGACGCCGGTGGTTTTAAGTAATTTTTATTATTATTAGTTTGTTTTATCTTTAATACGTTTATTTTTTATTTTAACCAACGGGAATCCACCCGGATTTAGAATGAATATGCTTTTAATGTCAAGATAAAATCATTGTGTTTCCGGTAAGGCACTCGAGCTTGACGCAGCTGCCACGAGACAATGTAGGTGATGCTGAAAATGATGCGTTCACTGTCTCCAGTATAACTTGGTTATTCAGGTGTGAATTTTATTTTAAAATTATAAATTAAATGTACAATTAAAAACTCAACCTAAATATTAAGAAGGTCGTGTTTGTTTGTTGTATTTCCCGACTGCGACCAGGAGAGGGCAGTGCACACACACGTGGCTGAATACATCAGTCAAAAATCACCTCAGCTACAACAACACTGACGTGGTTTCATTACAGAGCTGTGACCCAGTTAATTTGGATTCTGATACAGACAGGTTGTGTTTTTAAAGCAGCTCAGGGTGGAGCTGGTTTGAACTTTACTGGCTCTCAGCTGAGGGGCCAGGGCCCTCTGAAGGGGCCCAACACACACTATAACAGAAAATACAAAAACACAGCAAGAAATAAGAAAATACAGCAACATGAACTTCTAATGGAAAAGCATTGTTCGTCATTACAACTGGAAGGAAATGTAACAAAACATACATTTTTTAATTTGCCTTGTGTTTTTCATTTGCTGTTGTGTTTTTCATTTGTTGTGTGTCATTTGTGTGTTTTGTGATTTGTTGTTGTGTTTTGTGTTTTGCACATCAGGACCTAAGTTTTCACCAGTTCAATCTGAGGGGTTGTGAGATGAGGGACAAAGTTCAAAGTGCAAGATGTTTAAACCTTAACATCACATCTATGCCTTTGGCTATTTGTTCTATCACTGCTTTGCTTTTCACAACCTGTCTCTTTGCAGAACCATCAGTCTGTTTGTATGAATCATTAACTCTACTTCTAAGATTAAACACAGATTTACAGATAAGCCTACAGTTGTAACACACTCACTCTGGGCCTCATTTCTAAAAGGCATCCTCTTAAAATACAACTCTCCAAAAAAATAAATTCTTGATCAAATAAAATATGGTCAGATATTATTTTTGATAATTAAATATGAATTATACAAATCAATTCCTCTGCAAAGTTAAAGAAGCATCATGTCATTTTAAAAGTGTTTCAACCGACAAGCTGATTTTGTTTGTTTGTGTTGCAGCTTCCAGATCTAAACCTGAGGAGGTCTCACACATAGAGTATAAAGCTGCTCTCAGACATACACTAATGTCCAGACATTCTCCTGATATCATCTGGAGTGCCTGAACGTGAGAACGCATATGAACATAAGATCAGAAGCTCTGGACATTATCAGGAACTCTTCCTGCCAGCCCCCTGGTGAAAGGTTGGACAGCTTAAATTTTAAAGCACATTTCATACACAGAGGTAGATTCAAGGTGCTGTGCAGAGACATTAAAGTAACACAGAGACTAAATTAAAAGTCTATTTAAAATCAGAAAGCAACAATTCCAATCAAAATAAAACTGATTTAATAGTTTAAAAGAGGTGAAAATGTAAAAGAAACAACATAAATAAAATCTGTAATTAGACAATAATTTGAATAATACAAATAAAATAGATAGGAATGTTAAAATATCAAATATAGAAGAGGTGGGGGCTCTTTGACCTGTAGTGCTCAGGGGCCCTCAGGATTTTAATAACACTGATCCCACTCTTGTCCTCTAGGGGGCAGCAGCACTTTACAGCAGCGGAGGAGGAGGGAGAACAAAACAGGGAACAACAGAAGAAGAGAAGCCGATCCACCCTGTTTACATTGGACTTGAATCAGCTGGAGCTGGACACAGACAGACAGAGGCAGAGACACAGGCAGAGACACAGACAGGGACACAGACAGGGACACAGACCGGCAGCGAGAATGTGAGACAGAAACTCGAGCTCCTGCTCCACAAGGAAATGGACGAGATCAGGTCAGCAGCTTCTGCTCCACTCATTATTTCATCATGAAACTCGGTTGTTTGCGTCGTGAGAAAAGCAGCAGACTGATCGGAGGTGTTTCTCAGTTCACCGACATAAGTCATAAGTCACCACAGACTCGAACATATCAAACTACAGCTTAGAACGAGATGAAGTGTTAACAGGACGTGTTTATATATGAGCACTGAGCTGATGTAAAGTGTCTGCTGTCTCCTGTGCAGCTCTAACCCTGACAGGAACTAAACTACACATTTGTGTCAATAAGAGTTAAATAGGTTTCATATAATGAATGAGTTTAGTCTGTTTGTTGTTCATGTGTTCTTGTTCAGTGGGTTTACATTGTCTTTGTGTTGTATCCCCCTGTATTCAAAGATTATAACTATTATACGGGTGAAATATTATTAGGAATAATAGATAAATACAAACTAATGGCCACATGAATTAATCCCGCAGATAAAATATTCTAATATATATTTTCACTCATGTTTCTTTTTATTTGCAGCTCAGGATTTCCCTCAGAGGCATGTCCTGATTTGTCTTTTATTTTCATTTACCAATAGAAAGGATTCATTCATTAATACACATTATTTTACATACGTTTCCTTCTGCTGTGCGTCTGAGCAGAACAGAGGAGCAGTGATAGTACAGAGGTTTGTTGACCCCTCAGTCATATGCTGCAGTCATGTGGAGGGGTTTTATTTTGCCTCTCTGCTCAGCACAGTTTATTGTGAAACCTCAACCGTTTCCTCTCTGACTCGTGTTTCGATGTCTCTTTGCAGCCTCCTCTGCTCTGTGGACATCGGCAACCTCTGCAGCGGTTGTATTTATTTCTCGACAGTGTGTTTTTGGATCAGACAGTATTTGCATGTTCGTGCTGACTCAAGTAGAGATCTTTAAAATGTTTAAAGGCTCCATTAATACTGTTGTATTGTGTGTGTTGAGTAACTGTCATATTCCCAAACCTCCCAACTGTTGACTGTTCAGGCCTCATCCTCACTCGTCTGTTGTTATTAAGCTGCTGAAACAAATAACAGAAAACACCCACACTGTTGTGGTTTCACAGTAGGATCAGTTTCAGTTCTCGTCCTTACTAAGTCCTTCTGTCATGTCCTTTGCCTCAGGCTCAGTTCGACCGTCACATAGACAACAGGGTCAGTCTTCAGGGTGGACTGTCTGAAATCTGACATCAGACTTCTATACACACAAACACACACCATTCCTTTCGGTTTGTTTCACGCTCTGTTTGTATTGACCTGAGTGAGTGAGTGTGCTGCTCCTGACATGAGCCATAAAGACTTTATGACCTTGTTTCAAATTGTTTCAGTTTCAAAATCACATGATCGTTTATTCTTGAGTATACACCCTCCCTTCTTTCTTCTTTTCTTCTTCTTCCTCTTAGCCTGTTTCACACAGATACATTTTGATCTGTCTCAGTAATGAAGAGGTGGAGTGTGTGTGTGTGTGTGTGTGTGTGTTCTGAAAATAGATAAAAAGTAAAAAGTTGCTTTTCCTGCTCTTTATTTTTGCTGAAATGCGAAGCACAGTTAAGTTAGCATTATTCTGGAGATAAAATAAAAGAATCCATCCCACAGTGGGGAAATGTGCAGGTTCCATTTTTCTTGTCTAATTCTAATCTGTATTTCATTTCATTTACACCGCAGTCCTTTGTTGGGCAACCAACCCCAGGAGAGGTCAGATCTTCTGTCTCCGAACCTGCGGCCCAGACACCAGGAACTGATCCCGACACCGTGTGGACCGGTGAGACGCTCAAAACTGAGTACTACTGCATATAGTACATGTTCCAGTCTTTACTTGACGTTCCATTGGGAAATCACTGGTATTTTTGTTCGCTCTGGCCATTGCCGCACTTCCTGAAATCAACTGCTCTAAAAACAGTTCTTGGGAGTGGCAGTACATTTTTACTGCTTTTTCACATACTCACTAATGCCCGACCTGATATTTTCAGCATTTTGATGCCGATATTGGTGTCGGAACATCTGTGTGTAGGATAAGAATGAAATGAGAAAATGAATTTAATTATTATTTATTTATTATATACTATGATATATTATAATGATGTAGTCATTAGAGTATACATGTTATTCACATGGAACTAAGAATCCTAGTTTTGAACAAGCACCTAAAAACAGCGTAATAATCATTCCTCTCATTTTTCTATATCTAACTCCTACATATATATATATATATATATATATATTTTTTTTTTAGGTATCTTTAGGTTTGTGTGCAATACTTTGAATTGTGACATCCCAATGTATATTCTCCACTCTCATGTGCAATAATCACTGTGAATTTTCCAGTATCTTTGTATAGTGTTTACATTTTTCTTTATATTTATATATATATATATATATATATATATATATATATAAATGTATATTTTTATTCTTATTTTTTTTATTTTTTTTTATTTCCATATTTTTATTTTTCTCTATCCTAATGCCCTTCTGCTGCTGTAATGTTGAAGTTTCCCCAGTTTGGGATGAATAAAGTCTATCTTATCTTATCTTTTCTTTTCTTATCTTATCTTATCTTATCTTATCTTATCTTATCTTTTTTCACTACCTTAGAATTAGCACTACAATTCAACAGAAGCGGGTCCTCTTCCACAGAGGCTGCCATGTTGTATTTTTACAGAAGCCCAGAATGGACAAACTAAACCATTACATTAGATTTGACATATCGTATATTGACTGAAGACCATCCCAGGTTCTTTGGAAGAGGAGGATGAGGAGAGGGTTTTATTTGACTGAAATATACAACCTCCATGCCAGATCCCAGTGAATCCTCCACACTGAACCTTTTAGAAATCCTGTTCTCAGCCCAACTGTGGTTATAATTCATACTTTTTTCAGTTGTGAAATTAGCCTTTTACTTGCTTTACTTGCTTGTTTAGGCCACAGTTTGATGACTGGTATTTTCATAATCCTCATTCTCTCCATCTCCACCTTCCTGCAGATAAAGCAGTGGTCGGAGCTGTCATGTCTGCTGAAGCTTTACTTCTGTTTCACCATAGCGTCTCTGCTGGTGCTGCTCGGCCTCACGGTGACCAGCATCGTCAAGCAGGGCACAGAAACCGACGTGTCTGATGAGGACAACTTGACCGTGTCTCTCATCCAGCTGGTGGGAATACGTGAGTAACATCTCTTGTGTCAGGTCAAGGTTTCACAAGGTTTGAATGCAGTGTCGTAACCGTGCAACTCTTTGTTGAAATTATCCCATGATGCACGCTGTGGGCATTTCTGGAGATTCATTTCCTTCAGATGGCTTGATACCTCATCTATAAACCTGAAGTCTGCTGAAGACTCATTGTTTCTGGTCTGATGTTTTTTACTTTCCAGTGTTCCACCATCAAACCTCTTAAAGATTAAATGTAGGGCTGCAACTAACTATTATTTTCCAATTGTATCACTATTGTTATAGATTCTTTTTTCTCATGTGGTCTATAAAATATTAAAACTGCAATCAAGTTCACAGAGCCGGAGAATCTTCAAATGTCTTGTGTCATATGGTCATTTAAAACTAAGAACAGTCTTATCTGAAGAAGAGCTGAAGCTAAAACTACTGAAAGTTTTGCCATTTGTGCTAAAAGGAAAATGATTTAAACAAGTTAACAAAATACCAAAATATCTAAATATTCTGTCGATCCATTAACAGAATAATAAACTGTTCGTTTTGGCAGAAAATATTTCCTCCCAATGTTAGTTGGTTGTATAATTGATTGATTTTCCTATAGACGATAGCTCTGTCTGCAGCTGTCATCAGACTCATGAGTGGGAAAGATGAAGGTGTATTTGAGTAGAAAGACGTCATCGCTTGTACGCGCAGTCAGATGACAGCACAGGATGAGATGCATGTGCACATGTGCACCAGTTTGCACGGGATCAAGAGGAGTTTGCATGGCTACCGATGGTTACGGGATTGTCCATGTAAACATGATAATCTGGGTTCAGAATCCTGGAGTCAGCCCCATGAAACAAGTTTAGTGGTTTTAGGCCGAACTCAGGGTAGATCATCATGGGACACTGCAGGGCCAACTACAGTATAATAAAGTTAATATCGAGCAGTAACCCAAAGTCCTCACATGTTCGCTGTCAGCAGTTCATCTCATTTTATTTCAGCTCCTCCCTCCCCACAACTCCACAGTTTCCACTCCATACAAAATGATTACTGCCACAGTTTCAGCCTTGTACTGTGCCATTAATGTCCTCCCTCCCCACTCCCCCGCTGACCTCCCCTCACTTTGCACTTTAATAATAAACAATAAACCCCTGTTCATTTGTTGCTATTTAAGATTACACAAAATGATTGTGACCGATTACCATTAAACTTAGTGAAAGAATGCATTGTGGGTAAGGGAAAATCCTGTTAAACTTTGGTGCAGATCCAGAGCAGAGGGTGGATCCAGGATTTTTTAATTTAACATTAAGAGACAAGGTGTTTTTATCGGGCAATTTTACTGATTTCCCAGAGAATAATTTGTGCATCTTCACGAAAAAAACCAGGCACGTTTAGTTAACTGATATCTATGAGTGTGTGAAATTTGGTACAGCTGATTGAAACTGAGTACGCACTCTACGGAGTCTTATTCTAGGTATACGGTGAACCTAAATGACCTGTATGGAGACATATGGTCAAACATGTTGCACCAAATCAGTGGAAATAGTTAAAAGATCAGTCTCAGTGAACACGTCATGTGCAGAGTCATAACGTTTTGGAGCCTGTTGTAGCACAGGCCGTGACGATCATCAGGTTCATTCATTATTTGGAATCAAAACATGTTTCGCTGCACAACAAACTAAATTAAAATACTTGAGAGTTGTAATATGCATTGATTTGTCTTGGTTACCGACCATGTTAGCTGCAGCCCAACACATGCAGCATACACACACAGCAAATGGAGCAAATACAGTTGACGGGTTGGATGAGAACATTAACTGTGTATGTGACCATTAGTGATGTGTGTCCTGCAGTGTTCTGCATCTACTACATCAGCCGAGGCGTGCTGCAGGAGAACAGACAGGAGCTGGTGGTGTTCGTGCTCACCGTGTTGGTCATCATGATCCGATCGGTGGTCAACTTTGCTGTGCTGGGGTCAAAGGACAAGCAGGAGCTGCTGGTAGGTCGCCCTCTGCTGGACACTGTTAAAAATCATTCCATCCAAGTTTTTACGATTATAATATGTGCAAGGACACGGCTTGAAGCACTGGCACTAAATTCGTCTTTAAAGAATAGATTTTCTTTGATAGATTAATTTTTCTAATAGTTTTATAAAACCAGAATCAGCTGCTTTCAGACATGCTCTGAACTCCAGAGATCCTCCAGACGTTCTCTGCAGGGGCTGCATGTGTGCACACAAATGTCCGAGTGAGAGCCTCCGGAGTTTCTGCAGATTTTCTCCATCTGGCCTCCTTGTATAAAGTCCGCAGAAAGTTCAAAGTTCACTGACCCAGTAATCGTGTTTGATGTCAGTGATCTTTTACGATGTTCATGTGTAGGTTTACTCTTAGAGATTATATTTATCAAACATATTTTAAATGTGCTTTTTTCCTCCAAAGCTGAGAAGATGGAAAAAAGAAGAGCTGACAATAAATTCTTCTTTTTAAGATAATTTCATGAGCTGCTTTCTTGTTTCTTTGACTGATTGATTGATTTTTGTTATGGATTTACAAGACAAACACAAATCAAAGTCTCACATTTAGTTGTTGTAGACTAATTCTAAAAAATGCAATCATAAACATGCATCTGAAAGATTATTTAAAATCAGTATAGAAAAAAATTGTAATCTGTGAAAGCAATAAAAACAAATGTTATTTTGCTATTTCCTTCATGTTACATTTGCAATAAGAGCTGATGCCGGTGATGATGTGCAGTAAACAAAAACATGTGAGCACGTTACTTCCTGCCTCTGTCCGCTGCACCACCTGAATCCTGAGGAGGATTTAAATTTGAATCCTACGTAAACTGCTGTATTATTATTATTATTATTTTCATAATCAGAATTTAGAAGTGCTCTTCTTTTAAGATCTTTTTATGACCTACTTTCTTATTTCTTTGACGGATTGATTCCCTAAATCTAAAAGTTCCTGACACCCGGCTGACAACTGTCAAAATCAGCTTCAGTCCTGTTAAATGAATTCATGGTTCCACCACTTGGTGTCACTGTTGTTGAAGTTTTCAATCACTGTTACTGTATCTGGGGTGTCAAACATACGGCCCGCGGGCTGGATCCGGCCCACCAGGGGTTTCCAGCTCGGCCCGCCAGATGACTTTGCTAAGTGTGAAAATTAAAGACATAAATTGCATTTCTATAAAAGTAGCTGCTATTCTTAATCAGTCCACTGGGGGTTGCACTGTAAAACAAGTAAAGAGTTAACATTTAAAATATTTTTTAGATCTTGAGAAGTTTATTTTCTTTTAAAGTCAAATACAATATTTTTCAGTTCCAAATACCTGTGACTAAATGTTTTGCTCTGTAGATCAACTGTGATCTGAAGTTGTCACATGTGTGAATGACAAACTGAAGCAAAGTATTGGTGAAATTGCACTTGTTTTTCTTAATAACTTAATTAGTTGTGAATCAGAATGTCTCTTAAGAATATGAAGGTTTGTCATTTTTTTTATCGATCCAGTAATTGCTTCAAAAACAGCTTATATGTGTTGTCCGATGCTCCGAAGGCAGAAGTGACGCGTTTGACGTCAAATGCGTCACAAAGCGAGGGAATCTGCAGAGGAGAGCTCAGGCAGATAAACTGTGGGCCGATGTCTTTTCGTTTTTGGTCTTTATGTTTCTAGTTTATTGTAGAAAGACCTTAAAATAAGGTTTATCATCCAAAAACCTTCACCAATGATTTAAACATAGAGAAATATTGTCTGTATGCGCTATTATGCTATGATTTCACTGGTTTGGCCCACTTGAGATCAAAGTCAAAGACGGACAGATTGATTGATCAGTGTAACTTCACTGAAAACATCACGTCATGTACAAATGGAGTCACCGGCTGTGATGTGTGTGTGTTGCAGGTGCGCTTCGTGTGCATCATGTTTTTGGGCGTGTTGCACGTCTTCTGCACGTCGCTTCTCATCCAGAGGCCCAACATGATGGCGTTCCGTGTGGGCGGGGCCTTAGAGAGTGTGCAGGAGCAGTACTTCCTGCTCAACCTCTGCTTCTCCATGGTGACCTTTGACCTGCAGGCTCAGGTACACGCACACATTCCTCTTGGCAAACACGTCAACAATTCCAAGGCCAGTAATAATGATATGTGTTGGTTTTTGACTCCACCTGTGACACAATGTGATGAGACTTAAGCTTCAGTGTGAAGAATTTAGTGAAAACACAAGTGAAAACATCATATTCAATTTCTGCCAATAGATCCCTTTCACCTAAACCTTACACACTGGACCTTTAACGTGTGTTGCTTACTCTGTGGGTCTGGTGCATCAGTGCTTTTCCTTGGTTCAGTAAAGGTTAAATCACATAATAAATAAATGTGTGTGTGTGGTAAAAGCCCTCGTCAGACTCTCTTCACAGTGAAAAATAAATCCTCAGTCTGCTGAACTGGTTTTTGCTCCTCCAGCCTCAGTCAGAGATGAATCTATCTGTGTCAGAGGTGTTTTGAACAGTCTCCAGAGAGCGTGTGACAACTGCTGCTTGAGGCTGGAGTTGTAAGAATCACAGTGACAGCAGCGAGAACAACAAACGGCAGGTTTTTCCGGTCAGGTCAGATGCCTCGCACTCCGAGCTCAGCATGTGCTTATTTAGGTCAGGTGAATTGGTGCTCCTGCTCTGTCTCTCCTGCATCTGTTGAACATTAGTTTGTACAAAATGGCTGCTATGCATAACATCCTGGGTGTGTGTTTGAAAGAGAAATGAATGCCAACGGCAGTATCTCGATGTCGGGCACCTGCTGACGGCTTCATTAACGATGTGTTGTGGTGTTTCAGTTGTGTCTGTGCATCCTCATCACAACGTTGGACTCGGCCATGTCTGCTCGCAACAGCATCATCCTGGGAGTTGGAGTCGTCTGGGCCTGCATCACCGCCGCTGTAGGCGCCGTCGCAGTGAGTTCTCTTTAGTCATCGTCTGTTCACGCCATGAGAGAAGCGACTTTAATATTATTATAAAACAAATCTGATTTTACAAACACATTGTTTTCCAGGTTTTAAAGGAAGCCAGGGTTCTGATTTGGGTTTTCATGCTGCAGAACCTTCCTCAAGTGGCCCTGTTTGTTTACCTGATGTACATGGTGAGATGAAAAAATATTTACATTTCTCTGCTACAGTGTGAAGTGAACCGGTCTTATAATGCACTCGCAAATCACAACTGTGACTTTATTAGTGGCCTCACAGAATGTTTCTTTATTGCCTCCATAAGGAGGTTATATTATGTTGTTGGTTGGTTTGTATGTTTATTAGTTTATTTTACAAGAGTAGACAATATTCAAGTAAACAGTCTGCCATGACACTGGGTAAGAGGATGCAGTGTGGGTCAGGGAAGAAGACACTAAAGTTTGGTGTAGATACAGATCAGGGGTTCAAGGAGTTATTTTTTTCACTTTCTCTAACATTGCAAGATTTAGTTTTTCAACGTTTTCACCATTTTCCCAGAGAACAAGTCACGGGTCATAAAGGACGGATGATGAGTGTGTGCAATTTGTGTAGCTTGATTGAATTTAAGGCAACTGTTTGGCCTTGGTGGAGGGAAATGGTAAATGCTCTGTATTAGTAAAGATGATGATAACTCAAAGCACTTTATAGTAGTTTTTGCCATTCCATTTACACACATTCATACGGTGCATCCCTGTGCAGCACTTTCTCTGTGAGTAGGGGTCATTTTTGGGTGCAGTGTCTTTCCAGGGGACTATTCGGCATGTGACCTTCTGTTAGAGGATGACCGCTCAGCCACAATAGAAGTATACTCCTGAGTGACATTCTAGTTTTATAGTGAATCATGTAACACCAATGGATAAAGGTTGGTTGATAGACCAGACCATTTGTTTGAATTAGTAAAGAAATGTATCTGTAACATCAATAGTGCTCCATATATCTGGGGACTATTTTCAGCTGCAGATTAGTACACACTTGATTATGATTATAATAACAGTAGCAGTATTGAGTAAAGACAGCGTCCATGTAGGGATGATGAAGGGACATGTCTCTCAGTGCAGCAGTGTGGATCAGTGCAGGGGAATGAGGGACATCAGGCTTTGAATGCACATATTCTGCACAGTGGCTGGTACTGCTACTCAGGAGGAAGAGCGGGTTCGATTCCCGGCACCCTGGGCAAGACACGGAACCTGAAATTGCCCCTGGTGGCGGTGCAGCGGATGAGAATGTGTGTGCGTTATAAAGTGCTGCATATAGAAATTAAGGGTGAATGTGACTTGTACAGTAAAGTGCTCTGAGTTGTCGTTTAGAAGAGGAAGAAAAGTGTGAATAAATTTTTTCATGGGATTTTTTCAGCATCTTTTTTTTCTTGTAGGCAGATTGTTTCTCCTGTTTCCAGTCTTTGTGCTAAGCTAACCACATGTAGTGTATCATAACCTTCCAATGTAAATCTTGGCTAGAAAGATAATAACGTTATTTTATAAATGTACACATTTAAACATTTTCAGTTAAACGTCAGCATGAAAATAACTGCAGACTAACTAAGTGTCAAATGAACAGTCATGTATTTTTTTTGCAGAGATACAAATAAACATGTAACATAAATATTGGAAAAAATGTGTAAAACAAGTAATTGGAAAATAATTTGTACATTCTGACACGGATTGCAGCAGGATAATGATGGTGTGCTTTAATTCCAGGTGGGAGTGAAATGGTTTCAGGACCAGACGTACACACTGGAGGCCGCTGCCGTCACTGGAGCTTTGATCTCACTGGTGATTAAAGTGGTTTTATTCTGGGGCCTCGTCAGACTCGTGCACAGCTTCGGTCAAGGTCTGCGGGAGAGAAGTGAGTCCGACACCACACTTTTGTTTTTTTATCGTTTTAGTCCTGACCTGATCACATCCCTGAGGATTTTGTCCTTTGTGCTAATGTCGGTTGGAAAGCAGCAGAAAACCAGAGTGTTGCTGGTAATTGTTTTTTTTTCATTTGCAGTGTTTGCGCCCAGCAAGTGATAAAACCCCCAGTGGTCGAGGAAGAGAATGTCGGCTGAGGACCTGACATCAGGAAGCAGCAGCTCTGCAGATTTTGATTTAACATTCCAAACAAATAATGAGTAATTTTAAAATCTTTTAATTGTGATTTTCAGCCTAATGTGCAGATTTAATTATATTTAGCAAAAATCTCTTTTGTCACTGTGCCTGTTGTATGTACGAGATGTAAAACCCCACACATCAGCTCGAAGACTGCAAACTGTTTTTTATGAAACTTGAAATGCCTTTGTAGCTTGGACTCAAAATGGTTTTTAACTTTTTTCTAGAGCTGCTTTTAGACATGCACTGAACTCTGGACATTCTCCGGAGGGTACGTATGTGAGAACCCGAGTGAGAGCCTCCCGACTCTCTCCTCCCAGCCCCCTGATAAACACTCCAAATGCAGGAGATCCTCTGGAGGTTTCACCGTGATCGAGTGGGTGTGTTGATGATGTTTCTTACACACCACAGTTGAAAACTAAAAAAAAAAAAAACAGATGATTTCTGCAGTGGAATTAATTATTACTTCCTGCCTCTGCCTGCTGCACCGCCCCTCACCTGAACACTGCAGAAGTTTCTGTGTTGTAAATGTGTCTGAGCGGAGAATCTCCTGCTGCGTTGTTCATGTGGGAAAACTCGGAACATCAAAACCCTATTGTGCGCACATCCTGCAGAGTCCATGTCTGAAAACCGCTTATGTGCTGAAGCCAAAGTTGCTTTTTTAAATTGCAACGTAAATCTTGTTCATCTAAACTTTTGATTCTTTTAATTCTATTGTTTTTACTAAACTTTCTGCTGCACATTAACAAACTGAAAGGGTTTTTTATTCACAGTTCTTAATAAAATATAAAAAACATGATTGTTGTTTGGATTTGTTCCTGTTGCAAGTTATTTGGCCGTAACAGTTTTGCAAACATACTCAAAAAACCCCAGCATCCAGCGAAGTTCTTTTATTTTTAGATGTATCTGAATTCTCCTGAACTTAGTGGATAGAACTAACACACTGATTGACATAAGCCCAAGGACCCGATGGATTCAGGTGAGAAGAAGAACGAAACACAACTTTCTCTCAGTTTTATTAAAGTGCTCTGTAAAGTAACACAGCAGAGTTCAAATTAGAAACATTCACAAACCGACTGATACAAAAGAGGCTCTCAGAGTTGCAGAAGTGAAAAGCACTTTTAGAGAAGAGTTGACAGAGAAGATTCTGTGGGACCGAACAGATCAGAGCAGCGTTGGAATCAGACTGTAGCGTGTGGCAGTTTGGAATTTCACACATTCAATTAACTTTGTGTGAAAACCAGACAGTTAGTGTAACTTTGGCTTTATTTGATTATCTCAGTACTTGACGGTACAACAACAAGAAAAATATAGTTATAGAATCAAACCTTTTCTCCATCAACAAAGAATTAACAACTAAAGAGCTTAATAATGTAACAAAAAAAAAGGATACCAAATAGATTTCTTTTCATCAAAGACACATTGTAAACTGGTTAATAAACATCTTATCGAAACATCGCTGTATGTACAGGAGTTAACGGAATGATTTGCCTTTCAGAGCTCGCTTGGTGCTCTGGCGAGTTTCAACAGGTCGACTCCACAGTTTCATCTTTTTAATCAAACGCATTATGTTGAGCCAATTGACTATATACTCGTAAATATATATATATTAACATCTACACATGATATCTGAGAAGATATGAAAAGGTAGGCCACCTCAGCTGAGGCAGACGTGTAGCAAACTGAGAAGTCGATCGGTCCCTGGACAAACACACAACACCACCCACAACCCACAGACATCAGTCTATAAAAACTACATAGAGATCAGCTATGGCTTTAAAAGACATTTTTAAAAAAGGTTAAAAAGATGCTGAAGACACCTGAACTATCGTCTCTTTGCCTGGAATGAGTCTCACCTAACATTTCGTCCCGGCACATGGCCGCAGAGCAGAGACGCTGCGGAACAGACTACACTAAAACATTCTGCAGACAGCAAGAACGAGAGTCGACATGAAGCATCCAAGAGAAAATGCACAAATCTGTGCAAGTGTTAAAAAATTACCATGATGTAAACCTTGAAAAATAATATTTCTATACATTAATGATACCAGTGTTTAAGGCACAGTCTGTACAGTTGGGCCACGATTGGCAAGTAGATCAGGAATGACCTACATGTTGTGTAAAACAATACGTTTTCAATTTTTCCTGATTTGATCCACAGAAAACAGATTTTAACTGATTCTTTTTAGAGTGAACCCCGCCCTTCACCTTTACTGAGAGATCATCCTGTTGTTGTGGATGTGTCCCTGTCGTCTGTCTCAAAGATTAAAAAGTGCAAGAGCAGACTCAGGAGCGTCGCAGTAACTCTCATCCACAACTGTCACGGTGTGTTGTAATCCATCATCCCGACTCATTTACCCTCTTCAAGACAACTTTGTCGACAAACTGCATTTTGACAAGTTGCATCAGAAAAAAGGCAAAACGTTTCACACACATACAGAGGACTGGGGACGTTCCTAGACCGACAGTGATGCCAAACTCCATTCAGAGAATCAACTATTTTAATGAGCTCACACATTAGATCGTGGGCTTTTAGGGAATTTGACGACTCCTCTTTGCGCTGCATATTTCAATAGACACCTCCGGCTGTGCAATCCTGAGTCTGTGACCTTTAGTGTGTTTACTATGGAGCCCCAAAGAATTCAAGAAATTGTTTTTTCAAAAATGTTGCTTACTTGAAAAAGTCCCTTTTCAAGACAACTGAGTCGCAGTTTCAGCCAATCACAAGCCTCCGACTTCTCAGACTCAACACCTGCTATTAGTACACTTCTACATTATTTACATTAGACATGGTGAAACAAACAAGAATGCTGGAAGAATACTTTATAATACAGTAATGATCTTGAATTATTTCAGTTTATCCATGATTTGATTTATTTTGATGATTAGTATTTATGTCAAATGTTTATTTATTTTCATTAGTTTAATTTAGTTTCACTGAAAACTTTGGGGGTTTCATAGTTTTTCATAGTTAATTTAACAATATTCTATGGAGTCATTTTAATACAAATGAGGGGCGACGTCATAGTGACTCTGTTTGAATTGAGTTTGGTGAAACTTTGAAACGGCACAAAACGCGGTAGAGTTAAGACCAGGACTTTTGAGCCGTGGAGACCTTGGAAAATACACTGAAGATCACGGAGCAGGCCTCAGAACTCTTCGTCTTCCGAGCTGAGGTAGTTCTGCTTCTTCCTCACGTTCCAGTGTAAACACTGTGCCAGGCTCTCGAACCAGTCGTTGACCGGGTCCCGGAAACAGATGGAGGGAACAGGGAAGCAGGAAGTGGTGATGGTAATACTGGAAGAGGGATGACAAAAGAAAGAAGTTAAGTGGGAGGAGGTTTTGTGTTGCAAGGGCAAAAGTCCAAACTCACAGGAAAGTACAGGTATTCGTAATCCTGACAACAAAGGAGGAGGTGTCGACACCAGATGCAGCAACACAACTTCCTCCTGTAGCAACACTAGATGTCTGTTGAAATATGCTTCAATAACTGTAAATGACTGGCTGACTTATTTCAAGAAGCAGGAAGGTGATTATCTGCAGGTGAGTTACATAAAGGAAGAAACAGGATTTGTCTTCAGCCACCCAGACTCAAGCCCGTTAAGCAGGTTGATAAGGTTACATAACAAAGCCTGCGAGTGCTGAGGGAGTTACACTTATTACCCATTAACACATATGCATTATTCATTTTGCTTCTTTACAACGGTTTTTCTAGAGATAATCCAACACAGATACCAGCATCTGAAATGCCTCCGATTCTGCTGAAAATATCGGGTCAGACATCATCGAATACACAAATCTATGTATTGATATATATATATATATGATATATATTAATTTATACTGCAATTTTCTTTACTGCTCCAAAACAGCAGTTGCCGTGTACTGTCACTGGCAAGTCCTGTTGAGGCGCGGTGAAGAAGACATGATTGTTGGTAGTGTAGCGTTAGACAGAGCCAGCTAATATGTCAGATATTTGGGAATATCTCATTAATAATTCTTGCGTTTTCCTGAATTTATTTGTGTAGAGTTTCAATTACGACTGTCAAACTAGATAATTATAGAAGTTCTATAAGAATCATTCTCTGTATTTCTTTTTCAAAGGGTTTAACCTGAGTCATGCCAAACAACAATTGTAGCAATCATCTCTATCATACAGGGTTAGTAGCATACAGCTCTTAATAAATCCAGGTTTCATAATCTGAAATGAACAATGGTGTTGTACCAACTACAGGAGTTTATGTGGAGTGATGATCAACAGGTGCTGTATGTGGACTAACCTGTCTCCATGGCAGATCTCTTGTCTCTTCCTTCCATCAAATGACACCCAGGCTGTGTTTCTGGCATCACGAGACAACATGATCTACATCAGAAACAAAAAGACAGGCACATATTGTTTTCCCACAAAATGTCCTGCTGCATTCTCACATGGGCTCGCTTGACATTCTCTTAGGGGGCTGGCTGGAAAGGTCCTGGAAAATGTACATACATACATGTATGTAGCATCTTCATCAAAGTTACTTTCAATGCTAATTGTTGAAGAAGAAATGCCACAGATTGTGATTTCAGAGAAAAAAAAAACACCTCCATGACTCATTCAGATTTAGTGGGTGGGAATACCTTGAGCTCCACTCCTGCAGGCACCACGATGGGTCTGAAGGAGAGCGAGTGGGGGCAGATGGGGGTGATCATGATGGCTGGGACATTGGGATGAATCATTGAGGCTCCTGCTGCCACAGCATACGCTGTACTTCCTGTAGGTGTAGATACTATCACACCTGAGGACACACATACACAAACTGTGTAAAGAGACAATATCACGACGAGGCTTCAAAAGTGTTATTTTGAATATTATTCACAATTAAAGTAATTCATATTATTATGAATACTTTTTATTTGTTAGTATCAGTACCAACGTAAGAGTGCCAAAATATCACTATTACTATAGTAATTCTTGGGTATGACTACACTGATCTGATCAATGTGTCACTCAGTGTCTGGTTACAAAGTAGTAGAACAGCACATGCAGGCGTTTACATCATCTCAGAACCTGAAATGAAAGACAGATGATCTGTCCACTCACCATCTGCCTGCACTGTGGTAATGAGGTGTCCGTCCAGGAAGAGGTCGACATTGGAGAGATAGGAGGAAGGTCCTCGGTCCAGCACCACCTCGTTTAATACCTGACACACACAGAAAACAACATATTCATGTGTTGTTTACACCAGCGGTTCCCAAATGGTGTTTGAGAGAAATGTACAATATTATTATTGCAATACTACTATACTACTACAGGGGTCCAGAGCACGACCATTCAAATCTGTGAAGTGCGACTAAAAATGTCCCTTGGTCGCACCATTGCACCAAACATTTAGCTGGTGTGTCTCTGTATTTAATCGAGTCGTCTCATCTCCTCTGCAGAGTTTACACTCACACAAACAGGCCCCGGGCTGGCCCCACCCCAACTCACTCACACACTGACACTTGGGGGGAGAGAAGAGGTAGAGGAGGTAGCAAGGTGTCAGAGTCAACCAATGTTAAAAGCTATGTTTTTAATATGTCATCAGTTACTTTCATGAACTTGAATTTCTCAACCCAGAGGTCAATTCTTTATCTCTAAAATTTCAATAAAAAAAACCTGACATTGTAAAATGGTGGGAATTATTATTTTGTGACACATCGAAGACCCTGATTGACAGCCAGTGCTTCACATTGACGATAACAATCTGACACACAGGTAGTAGCACAAATCCCTGCTTGTCTGACTGACATCTCTCAGTAGATGTCTGCACACCAACTGAAAATTACCCTTAACAAGACTGAACTACTTTTCATTCCAGGGACAGATTCTCCCACCCATGACCTAACTATTACCATTGACAGCTCCGTGGTAGCCCCCACCCAGACTGCTAGGAACCTGGGTGTGCCACTCGGCAATTAATTCCTTACTGCCAGCATTACTGTAACAACTCGCTCGTTTAGATACATCATAAATTCATTCACACTTCTCTGCTCCTCTGCTCCCTTCACTGGTTACCAGTGGCTGCCCGCATCTGTTTCAAAAAACGAGTACTCGTGTACCGTGCTGTGAACGGATCGGGTTCGGTCTACATCCAGGAAATGGTCAAACCTTACACCCCAGTCCGTTCACTCTGCACTGCATCTGTCGGCTTGCTGCTCCCTCACTTCGAGCAAACCACTAAACAAAATCACGACTGTTTGCTTTCCTGGCACATATATATATA